TCTTGTGATAGGGGAGTAAGATACCATGAACCAGAACATTGGAAATTCGGGGACAGTGGAAACAAGTATTTTCGTCACGCTACAGGGCAAATATATGGAATATCAAAAGACTTGGCTACATATATTTCACTTCACCAGTTAATATGCATTTCTTTTGATGTTTCCTTGGGTTTTGTCTTTCTTGCACTTTTATTTTAGTCTACAGTACATGTGAGAAGTAATGTTGTTACCCGGGCTCATACAGGCATGTACTGCACAAGTATGCTAATGAGGATGTTTCATTGGGATCTTGGTTTATTGGGCTTGATGTGCAGCACATTGATGATAGGAGATTATGTTGTGGGACTCCGCCTGGTAATTTGTGCTTACTAACTTTGTCATTTTTTTTGGAAATGTCTCATATCAACATTTCCTATTAGTTTATTTTGGAAATGTCTCATATCTAACCCTTTGGAGATGAATCTTACAATTCGGCATTATAACTTTTGAATTCAAGAGGAGGAGGTTTAGAAGCATCAACCTCAATTAGAACCCGGGCAAAGTTGGACCTTGCCTTTTCTTGGGTGACTGTATCCGTAGTTCTCGTCTAGAATATGGAATTATAACAAGAAAATAAATCGGTCCGGATTTGATAGATTAAAAAACCCAGCAAAAGTTATGCCTATCACAGACTCAAATATCACCAATAAATACTTCGGGTTATTCAATAATGAAGGCTGTTACTCCTCTTAGTTTCCCCATTGTGCTGGCACACTAAATTGATTGAAAAGAGAGAAATACAGCATGTCTTTTTTAACTTTTTGAACTTCCTTCATTCTCGAATAGTAGCCCCTTTAAAAAAAATCAAATACGTGTCACTTTCAATATCAAGAAAACATTACTTAATTAATTTCTATCATTACAAACGTTAATTGATTATTCTCTAAAATTACTCTTCATCCAAAGTAATAATGACTTTCTCAAATGCGTGCAAACGCTAAAAACCACTGCTAAAGAACAACATAATCGAGAAGCCAGTTTTTAGTAGCCATTCACTTCTTCCTCCCACATTCTAATTGCGATTCATCATCTGATATATGCCTCGTATTGATGCACACAGATTGCGAGTGGAAGGCCCAAGCAGGGAACATTTGTGTTGCTTCATTTGATTGGACCTGCAGTGGGATATGCAATTCCATTGGAAGGATGAGAGAGGTGCACCAACGTTGTCGTGAGGACGAGAATGTTTTGTGGAATGCTGCTGCATTCTAACTGAAATACGGTATATTGATACACAGAGGAGGGATGGGAGTCTTGTAGCAAAGGAAGAGAAAGTAGTTGTACAAATGCAATCTTATAAGTTCATATCATAGTCTGTTTGCTTTAACATTCCAAGTCATTTGTCCTTGCAAAGTATCTTTGGAATGAAAAGAAAATCATCATATATAAAAATATACATCAAGAAGACAATGCAGTATTGGTTGTAGACTTGTAGTAGACTAGAGCTTGTCTTGTGTAAATCTTCATATTGCAGAGGAAAAGATATTTTTTTCTATTCCGTACCATCACTTGAAATTAAAAAAAAATGCAATCCATAAATTTTGTTTTATAAAGATTGTAATGTCCAACCATTCATATAGTCTTATGAGAGACAGATATAATTGGCTTGTCCTGGACATCAGCATCTTGTTAATGACATTCTTCCCTGAGACTGAGCTTGGGAAGGCCATGCTTAACCTGTGAAGTCATGCTAAAGTCCAACTGACCCATGGACTTTTGTCCCTAAAAAACTTTCTCAATTTATGTTGACGTGATTATTAAGAACGTGGTAATGCCATTTAACCATCCTTGGTTACTATGATAACTAAATTGATTCGTGATTGCAACTACACCACAAAACAATGACAAGTAGATGACCATTGGGAATTTGGGATCATAATAAATGGAGTATCAATTAGTTCAAACTTCAAATAAAAAAAACCAAAACAAGCAGACCAGCATTTGGCTAAGTTAGCAGGTTGGGTTTGATCTATGAAGCACGGATACTTCACTAGAGTACAATATCAGTGTATCGGAAACGTTCTCGTATCAGAGACTTTAGGATACATGTACCATACGTTCCCGTGCCGCATCAGCAATTCATTAATAGTTTCCAACTTTTTGGTAATTATTTTATAATTTCGGATATCAGTATCCTGACGGATACACGTATCAATTGTTTTTATAAAAAAAACCCAAAACTTACATAATGTCGCATAGAACTAAAGTTAAATTTTACACGTATCAACTTTTTTGGTAATTATTTTACATAATGTTTTTATTAAAAGGTGAAAAACTAAAATAAAATTTTACCTTGCTTTAATCTCGCATAGAACTAATATATAGACGACAAGTAAAATGTGAGATGTTTGTTGAGATAACTTTGGGAGTATGGAGGAGGATATAGGAGTACATGAATTCACCAACCTTTCCAAAGACGAACTAAAATTGGAGGTTATCATTTGGGAAGGCGATGTTGTCCTTTGAAATTAGTAGCTTCAGACCTCCAATGGAAATATATGTGTTAGAATTTTTAGTTTTTTTTATTTATTGGAGTATTGTTTTCTATGTCCATTATCCAAACCTTTGAGTACTTGCACTTTTAATTTAAAAAATGTGATTGTTTGACTCGTTTCTCATTTTAAATTAATGACTTATTGACTATATTTCGAAATACACTAATGTATATGTAATAATGTATGAATTTATTCCTAACTATCTTGATAATGTGAAATGTTTCAATGCCATGAATGAGCAGATATCAAAAGATAATATATGTATATTTTCAAAAAAATCATACTCCCTCCGGTTTTTAATAAACTTCACACTTTCCTTTTTGGGACGGTCTAAAATAAACTTCACACTTCCTTATTTCCTTTTTTGGCAAAGAAATCAACATCAAAACAGTGTCAAACAGTATCAAACAGTGTCTCAACAGTGCCAAATAGTGTCTCAACAGTGCCAAACAGTGTCAAACAGTGCCTCAACAGTGTACTCTACAATAAAGTCAAATTTCTTTCCTTATTTTGTGTGAAGTCAAAGTGTGAAGATTAAATAAAACCGGAGGGAGTATAATTTTTAATATTTATCAATGCACCCTCATAATTTTTAATATTTATAAATACACCCCCATAACTTTGAATATTTACAAATATACCACTATATTTGTATCCTACTTTGCTTGGTTTTGTCGTATCCCAATACCTGTTTTTGCGTTTCCACATATCCGTATCGATGCTATATAAGAATGTAAGATTTGATCATTGGGACCATTTCCAGCCAAGTGAGGGGCGAAACCGTACAGATCATCACCACCCTAATAGTAATGCGGGAAAACTGTCAAATAGGTCCTCGAACTTTCATAAAAAAGTCAATTATATCCTTCCATAGGAGACTTTGTTCGGTCGTCGCGATTTGGGGCGGTTCCCGGTGGAATGTTTTGATGAATTTTTTTGAGCATCTTATTCATCAAGTCTAGTTTACTCATACCAAATTTCAGTTAAAAATTTAATCGGGAGCGCATTCAAATTAATTCGAGAACGCAAAAATGCGCAGTTATTTTCAAGAACTAATTTCAATGTGTTCCCGATTGAATTTTTAGCTGAAATTTGGTATGAGTAAACTAGACTTGGTGAATAAGATGCTCAAAAAATTTCATCAAAAAATTCTGTCGGGAACTGCCCCAAATCGCGACGGCCGGACAGAACCTCCTATAGAAGGACTTAATTGACCTTTTTATGAAAGTTGGAGGACCTATTTGACAGTTATCCCATAGTAATGCAGGTCAAACTGCAGATGCATAGGGGGTGGGACCTGGTCCAATTCAGGTTCCGGAAGGGCCAATTCTGGATATAGGCAGGGACGGAGCCAACAAGGGAGGTGTGGTGTCAATTGACAGCACTGAATCCCCCCCATAAGTAGGTATATAAATTTTTTGAAAATTCTAAAATTGACACCATCGAAAAATAAAACTTCTTTGTACAAGCGTATATAATGTTTCATAAATTATAAATTGACATCACTCCACTAATTAAAGAAATGGGGGCAATGTAAATTTTTTTAAAAATTGGAACACCAACTTAAATCAATTGAAAGCTAGACAATTGAAAATTGGAACACCAACTTAAAACTGAAAAAGGAGTTGTAGCTCAAACACTCTTGCAATTGATCCAATCTTTTGATTTTGCTTTCACCTTACACTTGATAAACAAATGAGTTGTCAAAATTTTTACAAAGAAAGGATCAAGATATTGTTAACGCTATGGAATTGGTTAAAGTTGCCAAAGAACGACAATATTAGCTATTTTTGCTTTATGTGTATATAGATTATTATATAATACTCCATCCGTCCCGCTAAGATTGTCTCAGACACTATTCACTTGGTCAACACAAATCACTCTTAATCTTTTATTTTAGGAAAAATCGCACTTTTAGTCCCTAAAATAGTCACGAAAATAAAATGTCGGACCCGTATTTCTGATATTGTAAATGTCACCCCTCAATTTTCCCAATTATTGTAAATGTATGTGGTCCTTTAAGGGGTGAAATGTCCTCTCACCCACATTGTATATTTCACCCCTAAAAGGACCACATTTACAACATTTAATTGAGAATGACATTTACAAACTTGGGAATACGGGTCGAACCTTTCATTTTCGTGACTATTTCAGGGACTAAACGTGCGATTTTTCTTTTATTTAATATATCAATTTTTTTTATATCAAATTTGATTCTGTTTTTTATGACTTTGTAAAGTTTTTTATGTAGTTTCTAAATATGTGATTTTTATTTTCTAAAAATAATATGAGTGCGTACAAGGATCAGTTTGCTTTATCGTCAGTTAAACATTTTAAACCAAATTGTCCCAGATAGTGCTGGACTCGGGCCGGTTCGGGCCCGGCCTCGGGCCAGGGAAGGGAGGCTCGAGCCCGAACCGCCGGTGGCCTTCACCCGATCTCTGGTCCAGTAGACTTAGAACCATCACCGGAGAAAAATTAATTAATCAAGTATGGCAAAGAACAGATAGTAAGCCTCTACTATGAGATGAGGAAAAAGGAGATTAAATATTTATCAGAGTTTGTCAGGATCTCAGTTGATCAACATGGATGTCAAAACATCAACAGTTTCAATCCTACATGTAGAACACACTCTTGTTTACTTTTTGGCGTAGGTAATCAGCATGGCATTGTCATCAATCTTGAAGCCTTGGAGTGCCTGAGATGCCACCGTGGATTGCATCTCATCTCCAAATTCCACAAAAGCAATTCCGGGTTTTGCTTCCACCATCCTAACTTCCTTAAAGCCGGGATATTGGAGAAAAAGCATTTGGAGCATCATAGGAGTGGTCTGATGCGGAAGGTTCTGGACAAACAATATCTTATTTGGCGGAGCAGGAGCTTCCGGTAGAGCAGCACCGATTGCTCCACCCATATAAGGTATCTGCGATAGCTGCCACAATATGAAAATGGTGAGTGAGAGAGAGCAACGAGAACACACTTCCACTGTAGAGCACATCAAGAACCTATTTGGTTGGATCCATACTTGGCTTATCAATCTTATAATAGCCAGTTTTCTTGCAATTGGTACTTCATACTTCTATTTTTATTTGTATGAATTAATTGCTTTGATTAACTTCACATGCTCAGTATATATTTCGATAAAATTTTAGTAGGCAATTTAGTAGATTGAGCCACACCTTTAGCGCAATCACCCAGCTTACAGAACAAGCCATAGCTTTCAACATAAAAACAGAAAGAAGAGAATGCTTACAGGAGGGGCTACACCATAAGCACCACCATAGGCAGGATTGACACCCATTCCTGCTTGATGAGCAGAATCATGCTGGTGGTCCTTTTTTTTCCTTCCTGCTGGACGAAAAAGGAAAAGTAATTCGAATGTTACAAAAAGCAACATAGCAGACATTTTATACTCCATATTAAACTTAAAAGAATGTACTCCGTATAACTTTGTAAACATACTTTGACCAAAAGAAGGAACCAAAACATGGTATCTCTTTGATTGGGACAGCAATATTAGCGTACATACATACAACAGCATTTTGGGAATATTGTCTTTTTTTACTGTGACTTCGAAGTTACAAAAAGCCAGTTTCATAGAATAGAGATTTTAATGCTGAAATATCTGAATTTGGTTTCACATTCACAAAACAGATACAACGAATTAAATCGAATTAATAATAAAGACAAAGAGCTAAAAATGTTGTAATTTTTTTACCTTTGTCTTCATGCTTCTTCTTTTTCTCTCGAGGTACAAAAGTACCATCTGCCTTTGCTATAATGTCCGATTTCGTCTTTGCAAAGTTTATCCGCTGTGAAAATATAAAAATACACGCATGAATAAATATACCAAAACTGTTAAATACGGAAAACACCACCCATTGCCTAGCCCAACTAATGGCAACAGAAAATGTAGAAAAAATGAGGAGCAATCACTAATAAAAAATTAATCTTTTATCAGCGCAACATTATTAGCAGCTAGAAATCTAGAATTAGTTCTATTTGTTTTACAGAACTAAAAAACTCAGCAAATCAGTAGACAAATGAGAGGGAGACGCCAAATACAATTGTTGTAAACAAATATTAGAAAATCACCATAGGCTTATCATAGAATGGGAAACCATGCATTTGGCGAAGTGCATTTGTAGCAGATGAGACATCCTCAAAGACCACCCAAGCTTGACCTTTGTGTTTTAGGGTTTTGAATGCCAAAACCTCCAAGATCTTCCCGAATTGAGAGAACACCGCGTGAAGCGACTTCTTCAACTCTAAAAGAGTCCCAATTAATAATCTGTTATGAACAATCAAATCAAATACAAGCGCACACAGAGACAGGGGTGGGGGATACCTTCGAGCTTGATTTTCTCATTGAGGTTGTTAATATAAATTGTCTTGTTTGGGGGGATATCGCTGGCAGCTTGATTCACCTCCGCCATTGTTGGAATGCTGCTACCTCTTTGGTGTCAGCCAATTTTGAACAGTTTTTGCAGTTCAAACAATCTCAACTTCCCCTATCTAGCCAGCTATATGTAATAATGCAATTTCCTTTGCCACTTTCGCCTTACTGTGGAAAAAGAAACAAAACTAATGGTAGTTAGTCTCGCCATTAAAGAAGAACCTATGCTGATTGATAAAGTGATGGAGCATACCTGGATCGGATGTGGAAGAAGTCTGAACTATGGAATAGGAATTCAAAAGCGGAACTACTGTGAAAACCATGCGATTTTTAGGGTGTCTGGTAAACTGTAATTGAAGAAGAAAAATAATTATATTGGGCTCGCGTCCAAATGGCCCGATACGTAAACCAGGCGGTCCAGGCCAATAGTGTAGGCTTGTAGTTGGTCTAATAATGGGACAATTGTTGATATTTTTAGATGAATGAAGATAGTAGAATTTATATTAAGGTTCAAATTGGCATTAATAATTCATACTTTTAGGTATAGATGAGGAAAATAGTATTTATTCTAGGGTTTTTGCCTTGCATATTATCAACTTGAAATTAATTTCCAAAAATGTGACCATTTTTACAAAACGACAAAAATGTAACTCAGAAGATTACAAATTTGAAAAAACATGATGTCACTGTCATTTTTTATGTCACTGTCATTTTTTATGTCATTGTCAAATTTTTATGTCATTGTTATATAGATTTTTATGTAGGGATGGACCGGGCTTGAGCGGGCTTTTTTTCTGAAATGTTAGGCCCGAAACCGGCCCGGGTAGCTGGCAGTTCTGGGTCAGGCCGGTCTACCCGGCCATTTACCGGGTCGGGCCGGTCACAAGTTTTTTTTATTGTTTACCAATTAATTGAAGAATTGCTAGATACAAAAAACTTAAAGTATATTTATTTGAAATATGAAGTACAATTGAGAATAGAAAAAAAAATTAATACATGAAATACATTTTCTAATATACATCTCCTTTTAAGGGATCTCATAAGCTAAGAACTATAAGTTAAATGTGTTTGCACGGGAATTGTCCCATGATGGGTGACCACCTGAGAAGTTTCTCAGAGCACGCACGAGTTAGGACAAAGTACGCGAAAAAGGTTAATGGTGGTTTGGTGAGCACAGTACCAGAGGTCTGGAGCGTATCTTAGAGTAACTATCTCGGGTCCTGCGGGGTCGAGGTGTTACATACATAATCCGTAACTCATGAAAGTAAGATCAATAGCATTTTTTAAATATAAGCCATAACAAATTATGTTTAGGGATCATGTGTAAAATATTACTAAAAATGAGCTTTGGACAAAAAAGTGACCTTATTTTAAAATTTCCAAAAATGAGACCAAAAATAGGCTAAGAGACTATTATACCCCTTATTTCACTCACTAATGTTACAGTAACAGTACAGTGACCAAAATCGGTAGTGATCAAAATCCAACAGTGACCAAATTTAAAAATCAATCCGTTATTACACATCTAGCTTGAGTATGGGACATACATATATCTTAATTGAGATGGGACACAGTTGGTCATCATCTGCAAGTAAATTGCACTTCCTGGCACATCCCCTTTTGGAATCTTCATTATATGTGTGTGTACATATATATATATATATATATATTCATTATTTTATTTATTTATTTACTATTTTTATTTTACTACTACTATTATTATTATTGATATTATTATTATTATTATTGCTTATATTGAAAGAGAGTGAAGGTAAAAGGAAAATGGTAGGGAGAGAGTGAAGGTAAACGAAAATGGTATCTAATGTGAGAAGTGTGAAATTTTCACTTTTATTTTCGTACGCTAAGATTTTGTTATCCTTACTATATACTCTGTATGTGTGTATGTGTGTGTGTAATATGTACTCCGTATAGATATATAGACACACACACATATACCCTACAACCTTAATATTTATTAAAATTTAATTATCATTGTAATAAATATTTACTATATTAGTAAATATAGTCGGGCACTTTAACTTATATGCCCTTTATTGTAATTTTATATTGTTGAACATTTTTTCAGCACTTCTTGCCAAACGCATCTACTTAATTTAGCTAACAGTTCAGATTCAGCACTTCAAAATTCAATTCCAGTCAATAGTCTCGGGTTCAGACAAAAGCTCGTAATTCAGACATTAGCCTCCAACTTCAGCTTATTGTGCCAAACATAGCCTCTGACTATGTTTGGGAGAACCAGCTGAAGCTGGATGCTAATGTCTGAAATAGGAGCTATTGTCTGAATCAGAGACTATTGTCTGGAACTAAAATTTTAGGTGCTGAATTCAAATTGCTAGCTGAATGAAGTAGATCTGTTTGGGAAAAAGAACTGAAAATGGAACTGGACACTATAGAATTACACTAAAGGACATTTGATTTTTTTTAGGAAAGTGCATTTGATATAATAAAATAAAATATTTATTATGATACGTACATTTTATTTTTTTTAATAAATATTAAGGTTGTAGAATTATATATATAATAAATTATAATTATTTGTACACTAACTCAATTTATTTACATGTTTTGATCATGAGGGAGATCTAAAAATTCTAACCAAAAACTGCACAATGAAAAGCATGATCTTTGGCTACAAGGATTTTTTTTAGAGTGGCTACCAGGATAATTTTGGGGCCATGGGGATTTGATAAACAAAAGAGAACCACTCAGTCTCCCATTCTTCGATGACAATTTGTCACACGAAAAGAAGGATGACTTGCAATGGGGATAATTTTGGCATATAACAAGTCTACATTTATACTTCGTATTTAGTTTTTGAATTTTAAAAAAATTTCAACCCATTATGAGTTGAAAGCTCACGCCAAAACATAGCCTTTCTTATGTTTAACTATTAAGGGCTAATACCGTAGCATAGCGTAATAGAGTTCGTATCCACAGGAAAAAATGATTTTTGCGTATGTGTAAGCATAATTAATAAAAGTAAACGGAAGGGGGAATTGGAAATTTTAATAATTGAGAAATAAAATTCAATACTAAAACCGAAAAGAAGGTATACCAAAAAGTCTAGGCTGAATAGAAACGCTTATAGAAATTAACTCAAATAGGACTAAAAGTGGGTTGAAATTCAAAAATAGGACCTTTTATGCTTTTATTCCCAAATAGGAGCAATCTACTCCTATTTTGAAACATACTAAAATTAGCATCCCATTTTTACCCCTGCACTTATTTACCCCTTTCCAGTAGCTTCTCTCTCCAAATTGATCGTTGCTTTCTCCAGACACGACCAAAGGCTCACCAAGCCGCATCTCACCTTCTCCCTTGCGTGGATTTGCCGATTTCATCGCAGGCCACCTTCGCCGCCTCAACCTTCATCGTCTCCGCCTTCCACCACCATCGTCTTTATTTTCCTCCGAATTTCAGCTTTTCACTTCTCCTTCTCCATCTCTTCTCTTTCTCCTTCTCTCTTTTTTCTTTGAAGAACCTTCTCCTTCTTCTTAAACTACCTCTTCTTCTTCTTCTTTTGATTTTGATTTTTAACATTGATTTCTCAGATTTTGCTCATATTCTTATGTTTTTATGATCTTTTGCATTCATTTGGCCGATTTTTGGATCTCTAATTTGTATTTCCGATTCAAATTTTTACTTTAAAAAAAAAACCCTTATTTGCCGGAATATTGGATGATGGCATAAGAGTTTTCCAAATTTATGGCAGAAATGTGCACACTGACAATCTATTATGGCATAATAGTTTTTTGTGTAAATCGGGTTTTTGAATTTTTTGTCATTAGTTGCTTATTTGTGATTTTCGATTGTAAGAAAGTGTTTATTCCTTTGAAAAATTTATTTTTTGAATATTTGGTTGTTGAGTTCATATGTTTGCCAAAATTATGACAGTTTCGTGTTATTCTTCCAAGATAAATCTGCCAAATTTGTGGCAGTTTTGTTGGCAGATTTAAGAGTTCATACAATTGGAAGATAAGATAAATCTGCCAAATTTATGGCAGTTTTGTTGGGAGATTTAAGAGTCCATACAAATGTAAGATTTAAATTGACCGTGAAGACAAAATCTGCCAACTTAATGGCAAATTTATGTCATTGGTGTTGTGGAGGTGATGGTGGTGTTTGGAGTTGCAATGGTGCCTTCCAGATCTAACTCTCATGGTTGTTTTGCTAACAGACAGCGAGGTGACCAGAATGGTTGGCGGCGGAGGATGACAGTGGTGGTTAGGGCGACGCCGTTGTGGGCGGCAGCAGCGGCCGCAGTGGCTGTGGCTGAAACGACGCCGGCGAGATGGTGGCAGGCGGTACAGGCGAGACACCGGCAAACAGCACTGGTGAGACGGCGGAAGGCAGACCTAACGAGGTAGGGGGTAGGCTGCAGTGGCACAGAGGGTCACAGAACTGCTGATGTTGAGAATTTAGGCTTCATTAGATTTTTTCTTAAAAATTCAAATAATAATTGTATGGGGGCATTTTTGTCCAAATAGATGATTATTTGTCCAATGAAACATGGGCTTGTATTTTGGTCCTATTTGTGAACACCGGCCCTCTTTTAGTCCTAAAAGGGTAATTAACTCAAACGCTTAGCAGCATAGCGTTATCAATAAGTGTAAGTTTTCCAGCTTCAAAGAACGAGTCTACAATTAGCATTATCATAGCGTTATCAATAAGTTAAAGCGTTATCAATAAGAACAAGTCTACATTTATACTTTGTATTTAGTTTTTGAATTTTAAAAAAATTTCAACCCATTATGAGCTGAAAGCTCACACCAAAACATAGCCTTTCTTATGTTTAATTGACGAGCACTTTGTCGCAGTGTGTCTCAAGTTAAATTCACTACTAAGGGCTAATACCGTAGTATAGCGTAGTAGAGTTCGTATCCACAGGAAAAAGTGATTTTTGCGTATGTGTAAGCGTAATTAATAAAAGTAAACGGAAGGGGGAATTGGAAATTTTAATAATTGAGAAAGAAAATAAAATACTAAAATGAGGGAAATAAAATATCAAAGGTAATCAACCTTGATTTTGCTAATTTCCACTTAGTGAAATGCTCGTTGATCATTGTTACTACTTAAATTATCCCTCTTGAATACTTAATTGTGGAGAAACTCCAATTCATTTAGCATAGTTATTAATAACGAGACGCGTTCCTTAATAGCCCTTACTATTAATTAATCAATATAGAACAAGCGTCATATGTTGATCTTAATAGTAGCATTCAGTCGATTTGATGAAATAAATTAAGAACGATAACTTGCAACCCGAGGTGAATATTCTCGGCTGTCACAACGAGAATCTCAGGTCCAACTATTTTATCTAATTTATTCATTTTATTCTGATGAAATCAATTAAGATTGACAAGCTCAACACAAGCGGTTTATTGGTTTAATCAATATATTACTTCTCTTAG